CCTGCAATTAATAGAAAAAAAAAGTAGGCCCTAATCTCCATCATGTGGGATTGGGCCCCAACTTCCTTAATAAGACTCCTGTGACGCAAGAATTAAAACCAAACATTTTCTAAACCCCAAATAATCCACGATAAGAATGGCTGGTCTGTGTGCAGGGAGGCCTGGATATGGAGAACAGGAAATGCGKGCAGGAAAGACATTTGTCAGGGACACTGCGGAAGGGCATATTGCCCCTTGGGTCAGAGGACTCCTCTTCCTCTTTCAGCTGAGCCCCTTTGCCTTTTCTGCTTCCATTACCCTTCTTTAGGAACTCTTAAGGAGGCTGAGTCTAGGGTTCTATAATTAGCCATGGATCAGCTGTGCCAATTAGAGCTAACTCAGCATCCTCCTGCTTCCAAATTACAAACCTGACTAAAGTCAAGATGAATCTTCTCCCTTGTTAAACTGACTCTTTAAGGACGGTCATGTTGTCACATAACAGGAGCTCATCGGATCCAGACTGATTGTAGCCAAGATAGCTTTCACTATCATTTGCTCTCAAGCTGACTTACAGGCAGGCACAAGCCAGGCACCTTTTCAGGTGTGTAAGTTAAGCTTGCAGATGGCCTTTCTCCTGGGCGGACACCACTCCTCCAAGGTCACCAGGTTGCCTGRCTCTCCACCCAGCACTGCCCTCACTCTTACCTGCTTCACTCCACACTGTCTGAGGGAGGATTCTCATGAGAACAGGCTGAGAGAAAGACTCTTCAGGCCTTTATAGATCCCAACTGCCTGCATTTGTTCTTCCTGTCCCTGGGGCACGTTCTGGCAGAGAGCATGACCAGGAGTCTGAGCAGGGAGCTGGGAAATGGGGCCTCCTACCTTGACAGGTGAAGCATCGGATGTGGAAGTGGTTGTTGTGGACCCGAACAACTTCTCCTTTGCAGGTGTCTCCGCATCGGTAGCACTGGATGACATTGGAGCCGCCCCGGGGATTGTAAGGATTCTGCTGATAAGGAACTGTGGGAAGAAACGAGAGGTTAATTCTTCAAAAAATAGAAACATGAAACTTCCATAAGACATTATCATAATTTAACTGGAAGAAAAAGCAGAAAGGGTAGACATGACTAGCTGTCCTCCACCCCAATCCATCATCCTGGYGAGTGTGCCAAGCTCAACAGCACTGAGTTGCACTAGGATGTGAGACCATAAACCTTCGTAAGTAGGCAAAGACTTAGGAGTGAGCATAACTTTTCCTTGCAGTAGAGGAAGCCAAATTCTGGAATAGAAAATAAACAAATAAATAAAAGGAAAACCAGAGTAGAGTCATGTGCTGTGTAACCATGTTGCAGTCAATGTCAGATAGATGATGCTGGTTTCAGGACATCAGAATGGAACTGAAAATTTCCTACTGCCTGATGGTGTTGTAGCTGTCGTAATATCCTAGTGCAATACGTTAGTCATGTATTTGTGGTGATGTTGGTGTAGCAAACCTGCTGCATTGCTAGTCCTACAAAAGTATAGCCCAATAGAATTACGTACAGTACCTATTACTTGACAATGATAACGTATGAATGTGTTACTGGTTTATGTATTTGCTATTGCTATACTTTTTATCGCTGTATTATAGTTGTACATAATAAGAGGTTTCATTGTTACATATTTGTACATGCATATAACACAATTTGGTTAATTTCATACCCTAGTACTTCCTCTTTCCCTCCCCTCCTCTCTTTCCCTAATTCCATTTCTATTCTACTAGTTTCCCTTCTATTTTCATGAGACACTTCTTTTTTTTTCCCCCTTTAGCTTCAACATATAAGAGAAAATATATGACCCTTGACTTTCTGAGTCTGGCTTATTTCACTTAAGATAATGTTTTCAAGTTCCATCCATTTTCCTGAAAATAATTTTGTTCTCTTTTACAGCTGAATAAGACTCCATTGTATATTTATACCACATTTTCTTTATTCATTCATTTGTTGATGGACACAAATGTTAGTTCCATAATCTGGCTATTGTGAATTGTGTTGCTGTAAACATGGATGTGCATATATCACTATGGCATCATGACTTTAATTCTCTACRATCAATACCAAGGAGTGGGATAGTTGTGTCATATTATTCTATCCTTATTATTTTTAGAGTGAGATCCTTCTACTTAAAAAGAAAAAACTTTACTATAAAACAGTATGCTAGTAACAGTATAATACATCTTATGTTTATCATGTTCCTTGATTGTATCAAGAGGCCAGGCCAAGTGATTGGCCTACATCATCCTGATTTGTGAAGGTACATGCTATGAGGTTTGTGCAATCACAAAATCATCTAAAATGTATTTCTCAGAACCTATCCCCATGATTAAGTTATGGATAGTTGTATTTCAAAGTCAATCATYCAGTAACTCAATTTCTTGGGTGACCTCTGGATCAAAATTGTGTTCCAAACTTGTCAAGGGGAATTTGGGTCCTGAAAAATCACTCTTGAGTCTCAAAGAAATGGTGATGGCCCTGGCTCCATCTGGCCTTTGAGTTAATCAAGTTACAGCCCCTCTCTGGGCCTCAGTTTTCACGTGTATAAAATGAAGGTGGTTGGTCAATGGTAGCACAGAGTTTCTATACAGAAGGCCTGAAGGGAGGCATCCTGGCTGGAAAGGGGCTGTTGAAGGGGTTCATTTTAAAGCTGCCTTTGAACAGTACTTTCCACAATTTTAAGAAAATGTTCAATGTGTGCAACTGAGAAAAAAGGGTTGGTAGTAATTGTGAACAGGGCTGAAGCCACTGGGAACTGGACTGCTGTGGACAGCATTTGATGATGCTGAGAAGCTCCACTGAAATACTAAGTCTCTTGTTAACCTGCTCGTAGTTACGCTTGGACATCTCCTTTCCCTGAAATAGATGCTCCACTTGACCATCTTAAATCTGTTTATCTGGCATTGAAGAATGAGAGTTACCTGCCTAGATCACAGAATCCCAGAGTTGGAAGAGATATTATAAGCTGTCTGGTCCAGCTTCACTATGAATAAGTTGTAGAGATAATTTTGCCAGKGAGGAACCAAATCTCTCCTAGAGGCATCTCCTAGTGGCCCAGGGAGAAGGTTCCTCAATTCACACTCAAAAACATTAATTAATTTTTGATTAATTAGAACCCCTTTCTTGACAGTGTAGTAGTCATTTTGTTAGCTAAAATTTAAATGTTTTCCTCCTGACACATGAAGAATTGCACGTGGAAACTTGCTGAATAATGAAATGTGAATGGAAATTGTGTGTGTCCTTTTTGGTGGGAAACCTTTGGAGCCAGATATTATCTGCCATATTACCCTTTCCCTAACCCACCAACAAGAGACAGATGTCTCAGTTGACGTCCAATAGGCATCAGCTTGGATCCCTGATAGAGGAGTCATGGAATAGAACTCCACACCAACCCAGGATAAACATCTACCATAAGAAATAACAAGTCTTTGTTTTYATAGCCTCCAAAACTTTTTGTTACTGCAGCACAACCTAAACTATCCCATYTCATCCATCTGGGATCTGATTCTTCTTTCTMAATAAACTTGATGTTATGTGTGTTCTTCTATAGTTATATTCATATTTTCAAAGAGGTCTATGGTCTCCATAACTGATTTCATCCATTTCCCTCTTTTATCCACATGTGGCAAGACCTCTCTCTCTGCAGATAGTAGCAATATGAAGTGTGGGGGTCAGGGAAGCTAGGCTGAGATTGGCCACATCTGCTTCTGTCCTGGAAGCCACCWCATTTCCAATAAGATTATATATTCTTGGCTAATTAGAAACAAAGAAATAGGACCTCTGGTTATCTCCTATGTATAGGGAGATATAAGAGCCCTGGTTGCTGAGCCCTGAAACTGGCTTCTGACAATTTTGCTAAGTAGGGTGGGGAAAAAAAATCCATTTCACAATCTTTCTCCTCCCTCTGCAGCTCTTTTTCCTTTCTTTCTTAAATTCAAGATAATAAAATAAAATAAACAAATCAAGTAGTTAACTAAATCATKAATTCTTTGGATTTTATTTATRTATTTATTTATTGTGGTGTTAGGATGGAACCCAGGGCCTTATGCGTGCTAGGCAAGCACTCTACCACTGAGCTAAACCCCAGCCTTAATTAACTCTTCAAGTGGGTTAACGTGAAGAAGTGCATTATATATCCTGCAGATGTTCACTAGTATCACAACCATCACACCCTCCCCACGGCTCAGAGCAGTCCTTCCCCAACCCTAGCATGTCCATAAATATTCTATTTAGCCCAATCTTCTTTTCTTCTTTTTTTTTGTATTCCTGCTCAATACCCCCAGGAAAATATTTCATTCTCTCTTCCCCTTTATGAGAAAAATATCAATCCTGTTTATATGAGCAGTGCAGTGATCTACCATTGCCAAGGGAAGCAAAGCTGTGAGTCTGGAAATAAAACAAGAACAAATAGTCCAACCATCCCCACCAGTGACAGGGCTCTTGAGCGTCTCCCAAAGTCCCTGCAGAGTCACTGCACACATTCTTATCTATGTCTCCTAATTCCACCCACCTTATGGTTCAGGAATCAACTTCCGAGATCGATTAAATCTTTCTAATTTGGTTCAATTTTCTGGGAAAGTGGATTTGTGAGAATGATCCTCAGTCAGAACTCAGTCTTTGAACCCCCTTATCTAAAAGATACAAAGTCAGAGTGAGGGGATGGATTAGGAAAATAGGCCTGTTGGGGCRGAAGGACTAGCTCTGTTGCTTCCCTCGGATGAGGATGTTGCTTTGGTGATKCTGAATGTGGCCAGGGCTCCAGGAGTGTCTGATGCTTATAAATAGACTCATACACAGAAATTCATGCATCCATGCATCATTGGTGCAAATTCTTCCAGATTGCTGATGCAAGCTGTGGCTATAAAAGGACAATAAGATTCGATCGTACATGTGTGGCAAGACCTTCCTCTCTCCAGATAGTAGCAATAGGAAGTGTGGGGGTCAGGGAAGCTAGGCTGAGATGGGCCACATATGCTTCTGTCCTGGAAGCCACCTCGTTTCCAAKAAGATTTTATATTCTTGGCTAATTAGATCAGGAGCTTAATCCAACCTTATTCTGTGTTTGTGTAGGTATGTTGGGGTAAGTGTTTCTTTCCATCAATTTGTGGCTTCCTTGAAATGCAGAGATATGTGTGTAAATGTGTRTATCTRTTGTTGCTGTAGTAYCAAGGATTGAGTCCAAGACCTTGTTAGGCAAACACTCCACTGAGCATGCCCCCTAAATGCTGAAATTTGATTTTCTGCTGGTTAYTATTTCCACCAATGTTTATCCCAGTAAGTATTAAAATTAAAAGTTCAGTCACATGATTTATAACTTTCGTATTATGGGAAAAATGTATTTTTTTTGAAAAAATTGATTTATATATGTGTTATGGTTTAGATGTGAAGTGTCCTCCAAAAGCTCATGTGTGAGACAACACAAGAAGGTTTAGAGAAGAAATGATTGGGTTATAGAGTCTTAACCCTATCAGTGAATTAATACCCTGATGGCGATTAACTGAGTAGTAACTGAAGGCAGGTAGGATGTGGCTGGAGGAGGTGGGCTTTGGGGGGTGTTCCTTTGGGACCATTGGGGTATATATTTTGTATCTGGAGCATGGAGTCTCAGTGTCTTTCTCTCTCTCTCTCTCCTTTCTAATCATCATGTGAGCTGCTTCCYTCCACCACACTCTTCTGCCTCTTCTCCCAGAGGAATGGAGCTGGGCTYCTATAGACTAAGACCTCTGAAATTGTGAACCCTTAAATAAACTTTTTCTCCTCTACAGTTGTGCTGGTCSAGTCTTTTAGTTACAGCAGTGAAAAAGCTGACTAAAACAACATGAAAGATTTCAAACTACTTCATACATTAGAAATTCTAGGCTTGAGAGCACCATTTAAGAATAGCCATCAGCCCCACAGGATATTAGCTCTGTTCACCTGTGGGACTGTCTGTGGTATTTTGGTATACATATTATGGTATATATATATATTGGTATTTTGTATGGAGTC